GGCAGAGGCCCCAAGTATTTTTCTGGTACCAGGGGCTTTTTTCATGCATCACCACAGAACAGAGCTGCTATTTTTAGCTCTAATAAGCATATTTAATTTCCTACTGCCTCATTTCAACTGTTTTTTGCAACTAGCATTTCTGAGTGTGTCCCTGGGGACCAGGTGAGGACCAGGACCAGGCTGAGACTGGTGCTTCGTGGCTGGTTCGTGTCCCCTGAGCATCCAAACCGATGCTGCTCCTCTCGGCACCGCCGAACCTCAGGATTTGGTAAGGAACAACATGCAGGGCTGTGCCAGCCTTAACACTGAGGCTCCCACCCCCGGGGGTGACTGCAGGCTCCCCTGGGCAAGGACCCCCACACCCCCCCGAGCATCCCTGTTACTATCCGGGACAGCAAAGCACTCCCATTACACAAATAATCAACACAGAACCAAAGGTCGCTCATTTGAAGGCATAAAATGCAGAGTAAGGCAGTTCAGAGTCATTCCCAATTAAAGAAGAGCTGCAGTAGGAGCAGGAATGGCAGAGCCGTTTCCCAGGTGGAAACGCCGCGGTGCGGGGGGCTCGGCTCCTGCACGCTTCGCTGGTCACCAGCATCATTCCTGGATCACCCAGGACAGAGTCACAGGCCCCTCGGAGTTCAAGGTGGGCAGCCAGTATAGCACAGACAGAAAATACAGAGAATTTCCAGAAGGCTTTTTTTCCCCTTGATTGCAGAGAGAAAAAGAAAAACAGCAACAACAAAAAAATCTCTTCAGTAGATGATTGGCAAAAGCTCTACAGAAAAAACCTCCCACTTGAGAGGAACTGGAATGTCAGGAGGGACTGGGAGTTTTGTGCAGCTGCAGAAGGGGGGATCCGAGGGTGAGGGATGAACACAGCTCCACAGGAGCCGCATCTCTTACACCAGAAAGCTGACCCCGGGGTGTGCGGGTCCCCTCGGGCTGAGGGCACCGTCCTGCTCTGGGTGCCCCCGTAGGGGAGCAGCCCTCCTGCCCCCGAGCCAAACCACCGCTACAGAAACAGGGGATTTTTACACGTTTTTGGGGAAGAAAGTTCTGTGGCTAATGACTGCCATTTCAGCATTTTGCTATTTCCCTGTTCCTGCACAGGCCTACCAAAGAAGAGTTAATGCCTTTCAGTTTCCACTCAGTTAGCTTAAAAAAAAAAAAAAAAAAAAAAGTAATTTCCAGCAACACCAAATGTAGCGTGCCTCCTTTGGAGCAGAGAGGCAGAAATGTGCTGGATGAAGAATGAAAAATGCATCTGTCCCGGTTCTGCAGGGATCGCCGTGCTCTGCTTCTCTTGGCAGCGCCGTGCCAGCCCCAACAGCACAGGCTGGCACGGAGCTCACCGCCGCAAGAGTTCCTGAGAGATGAAGAAGGGAAAAAAAAGTCCCAATCAAACCCCAAAAGCTGAGGGAGTGGAAAGCCCGTAAGGTTTGATGCATGCATCAGAGCAAGGAAAATTAAAACCAAAATCCTTTTGTGTTCCAGAAGTACCAATTGAGAAAATAACGTGGCCGCGGTGTGCTGCGCAGCAATCCTCGCTGGCTGCAGAAGCACCAAGGGCTGCTCCCATCGCCCGGGGCGCACGGCGGCTTCGGGGGGGAGAGTGGGGGAGCCGGCAGGGAACGGGTTAATCCGGGCTTCACACGCAGGTTCATCACACCCCTGTTTTCGGAACATCAATTCCTCCATGCATGACGACGGACGGCACGACACCCCCGACCCGCGCGGAGCCGGCGCCTGGAGGTTTGGGCGACAGGAGCTGGGGAGGTCTATGAAACGCGGGTGAAGAGGGAGAGGGTCTCGTCTGCGCTCACCTGAGGGATCCCCAGCGCCGGGGCCAGGAGGGACCTTTGAGCAAACCCGGCCTGGCCCAGCCCCCGGGGGAGAGGGGACGTCACCCCCGGGACGGAGCTGCCGCCTTGGGAGAGGCTGGAGGTGAAGATGTTGGGCCACGCGGGGGATCCGGTCAGGGCGCGGGGGGGAAATGTTCCATAGCCGGTTTGGATGCTGGCCTCTTGTTAGGAGAGTGTTTGTAGCTGACCACCGGAACGGTGGAACTGGGAGCACGGGGGACCCTCCGCGCCGGCCAGCCCCAAGCAGGCAGCTGGCCCGCAGCGCGAAGGGAGCGACCGGTGCCACGCCGCGGCCCCGCCGTGGAGCGGGGGCACGTGTTCTTCAGACAGCTGAGCCGGGCGATTTCAATAATAAAATTAATTCCAATTCTTTGCCGATTCATTTCTACCCTGAAAGCAGACATCGAATTCCCGAGCGGGGCCACGCACCCGCTCCCACCAGAACCGCGCTGCGCCGGCCGGGCACGGAGCTGCTGCTGCCGCGGCCGTGAGCCCCGAGCGCACCGCGCTCTCCGCCCCCCCGGCATCCTCCTGCAGGCACCGGGCAAAGCAGGGTCCAAATTCGCTTTCCATCCGTTATTGATTTTGGTCACAAGGGAAGGGGATGCAAAAGCTTAACTGCGCTTTATGTCAGAAGTAGCGTCACAGCACGCAGCATCCCGCATAACTCACTGTCAAGTCCGGGCTGCAAATACAGATCTAACAACCAGACAAATAAAGAATATGGGCTGTTTATAGCTCGGTCCTTATCCTCCAGTAATCAATATGGCTCATTAGGTTTATGAGACAATCATGTCTTCTGCTACCCTGGCCCAGAACCTCTGAGTAATGGCTTGCCAATGCCAAGTAATTATAACGATGTCTTGCAATTGAAGCAGAAACAACCAAGTAAACTGATTTAAAGCAGTTTAATCGGGCTAAGTTTTCCTTAAGCTCCATGTCTTTCCAGTGTTCTACCTCTAACTTTATCAGCCCAAACCTCCACTTTATTAGATATTCTGGTTGGATTTCCACTCTAGGGACTTGGAGAGCGTTCTGCTTTCAGATCCAATGACACACCAGGCCGTTCCTCTCCCTCTCTCCGTTACCTGCCCTTTCTGCTACGCCTTTGTTTCAGGCATAAGTCAGCTTCATCGGGGGCCCAACATAAACGCCCCTCTGCAAACACACGGACCACGGGGAATAAACCTGAGGAGCCGGAGATGTGCACGCGGCTGCAGGGCTGCGGTCTCAGAGGCTCCCCGGGGACATGGTGGGCTGGCTCCTGTGCCTGAGGGCTGGGCTGGGGGGGCACAGGCTCTTTAGGAAGGACAGGCAGGGGGGGCGAGGAGGGGGGGGTCACCCTCTAGGTCAGGGACCCGCTGGAGTGCGGGGTGCTCTGCCTGAGGATGGGCGAGGATGAAAGGGGAGGCAGGGACAGGAGCTGTTATAGTGGGGTCTGCTACAGGCCACTTGACCAGGAAAACTGAGCAGATGGGACCCTCTATAGACAGAGAGGAGCAGCCTCACGGTCACAAGCCCGGGTCCTCATGGGGGACTTTAACCACCACGGTGTCTGTTGGGGGGACAACACGGCAGGGCACAAGCAGTCCAGGAGGTTCCTGGGACGTGTTGATGAGAACTTCCCTCTCCAAGTGATAGAGGAGCTGGTGAGGAGAGGGGCTGTGCTGGCCCTTGTCCTCACCAACGAGGAGGGACGGGGGTGGTGCGAAGCTCAAGGGCAGCCTGGGCTGCAGTGACCACGAGGTGGTGGAGGTCAAGATCCTCAGGGCAGCGAGGTGGGCGCGCAGCAAGCTCCCTACCCTGGGCTTCAGGAGAGCAGCCTGTGGCCTCTTCAGGGCTCTGCTTGGCAGAGTAATGTGGGATAAAGCCCTGGAGGGAAGAGGAGCCCAAGGAAGCTCGTGGGTGTTCCAGGATCACCTCCTCCAAGCTCAGGAGTGATGCAGCCCGACAAAGAAGTAGTCAGGTAGGAACACCAGGAGGCTGCATGGATGGACAAGGAGCTCCTGGACAAGCTCAAACACAAAAAGGAAGCCTAGAGAGGGTGGAAGCAAGGGCAGAGCCTGGGAGGGATACAGAGAAACTCTCTGAGCAGCCAGGGACCAGGTTAGGAAGGGTCGGAGCCCTGATAGAATTAAATCTGGCCAGGGACGTCAAGGGCCCTTGGTCTGGTGTTTGGTTTGAAATGCTGCGTGTTGGCCCAGGCTTTGCTGCAGAGCTGGCTCGTACCCCCAGCCTGGGGGGCAGCATCTGACCAGCGCGTGTTGGCTCGTGATGGCTGGTTTGGGAGCAGCTGTTGTACGTGAGATTTGCAGACTTTCAGAAACCTTGCATCTCACTGGAAATATTTGCTATTCGATAGCCCTTCCCATCTCTGTTTCTTGTAGGGAAGCAGCTACCCCGAGCCCTGCGGTGTCTGCGGGGCTCAAGCTCTCCGAGTCCCCCAACTCCCTTCCACCATCTCCTCCCTGCAGCTCCTTCCATCGTGGTGCTCCAGCTCGCACTCGGACATTTGCCCTACGAGGGCTGAAGTGTTTAATTTTATCACGAGCTCTATGCTTGACTTGATAGCCGAGGTTAACTCTCTTCCACCTCCTCCGAGCGGCCCCTCTCTCCCCTGCTAACGTTTGAGCAGGGGAGGGTGGCTGTTACAAGGATTAGCCCCTGCCAGCGGTACTGGGCAGAGCCCACCGACGGCTCCGGGGTGAGGGTTTCTCTCCCTACAGCACCTGCCGATGTGTTTTGCCGGTGTCTCTGCAGCCCCCCCCCCATTCCCGACACCCATCGCCCCGGTCCCCGTCCCCTCGGGGCCCAGCTCCCCGCTCCCCCCGCTCCGGAGGGACACCCAGCTCCCGCGGGGCTCATCACCGCGAGCACTCTGGGTTACTACCTTGGCAGGGCTGAAGTGTTTGCTGCAGACATAAGCCTTGTCATGCTTGATTTTATTTATCGTTGTATAAGTGTATTTCCAAATAAAACAGAAAGTGAGCAAATAAACTAAGTGACAGAGCTATAAACCCCGTGCCTGCTCATTCACTTGAAGAAAAGCCTGCCTCGACTAATTAACCTTTGCAAGCCTTGCGCTGTTCATAAACAAGCCATGAATTAATATTGTCTTTTTTCAAACAGCCAACATACACCACTAAATCTTTATTGGGCAGCAAAAAAGAAATAGCTCCCCCCTCTCTAGGGTAGCCACAACAACGACAACAAGAGGCTGAGCTCTTTAAATGAGAATGAAATATTAGAACAAGTTTTTTCCCTGCTTTTGCTGCCTGTGCTGAGCTTGTCTGGACCGTGCTGAAGGAGCGAGGTTTGTGGGTGTGGAAGGGGCTGAGCTGCAGCCTCCCCGGCATCGGGGAGATTACAGAAGCAAGCACCAAAACACCGGTTTTCTGCACCAAATCTCCTCGCGTATCCAGCGAGAGGATGGATTATGCTGTACAACAGGCTGGGAAGCTGAGGGCTGGCTTCCTTCCTACAACTGCAGAGACGAGCGTGTGAAATGGGTAAATGAAGCTGTGGATCTGCGGGAGCAGGGGGAGGCCGGTCACGGGACGTGCAAGCAGCCCCTAGGAAAAGCAAATCACAGGGAAAAGCTGGGAGAGGACGTGTGCTAGGGCCACGGGTCTGCTGGCCACGCACACGTGAGCGCAGATGTCCGCGGGCTTTTCTTTAAGACAAGCCCTATGCATTTACTGATCATACACACATAATGGGAGACTTCAAGAAAAATAGAGAGGGGGCAGAAACACAAATCAAGGAGTAACATTTTTGAAGGAGAAATTACAAATTGCAATTTAATCACATAATCACTTTGACACTCTCAAGCAAGCTAATTTCTTCCCTTGCCTCATTTCACCCACTTGGCAAGATGAATCTTAATGAATAATGTCCTATGAATATTTAATTTTTTGATCAATTTGAATTTTTTTCCCCTCATAGCCCTACCTGCTGGATGGATAAATCAGTTCTCCTCTTTTCCTCCTGCAAACTTACAGAGAACAATAGCTTCTGCTCCGACTTCCATCCTCCTCTGGTTTTCCCCTTTTTCCCCCCCGTTTGGCCCAGCAGCCGTCACTGCCGTCCTCGCTCCCCCATCCTCCGGCAGCCCCCCGGGGCTCACCCCGCGGGCGAGGAGCCCCTCGCCAGGGGACTGGGGCCAACGGCACCAACCTCTTTCACCCCGTAAACCACCCACCGGCTCTGGGGAACTTTTTCAAACCGGGAAAACTTTGCAGACAGACAAGTAAATTGATTGCCGAGAATTGCAGATCTTTAATGCAGATTGATTATCTCTAATGGTTTTAAAGCAATTTAAATATAACTGGATTGTTTGGGCAAGAATTTGGCGTCTAAGGAGAGGGCAATAGCAATTTCCCAGCTAATGAGTATTGATGGCAGCGTCCCCGGGCTGCGGGGCCCCGGGGTCCCTGCAGCTCTCCTGGCCCTTCCCCAAACCCAGGCCGCGGGGTGCTGGGGAGCTGCGCACCCCTGCCAGGGCAGGATTTTAGGAGTTAGCTGGAGGTGTCTGCTAGGGCTCACCTAAAAATGGCCAGCCACCTCTCAGAGCAGGAGGGCAGGATGAATGGTCCACCCTAATCCCCATCTATCTTATCTGCTGTTTTCTTTTGTCTCTCCGGACCATTTAATCAATTCTTGCCTAAAATTACTGAATTAGAGAAATATTTTCAAATTTAACACTGGTTTCAAGCTGCGAATTGGTGCCCTTGACTTCACGGTATGATCCTAACAACCCGCAGTGAATAACCAGGCTGTGCTGAGGTGATGAGAAATTCAGAACAGACTTTACCCTGAAAGCCATCGGATTTGGGTTTCTTCATGTTTGTGCTGAGGACTGCTGAAATCTCCAGTCTGAAGGAAAAGCAACACTCCTAGCTCAGCCTGACAGGGTATTTTCTAAACTTGCTAAGTACGTGTGGCACCCAAAGAAATGCTGGAGAAGTTACTGCAGCTGCACTCGGGGATGGTGTAATTTTGCGCGTAAAGGGGTTCAGGCAGCGAACAGGCTGGGGCGGGGGCCTGGCTCGGGGGCAGGGAGGGCTGTCTGTAGGAGCCAGGACACTCCGTGGGGTCTGTGGGGTTTGTGCTGCACCGCGGGATGGGACGGAGCGAGAAGTCACGGGCGCATCGGCAGCGCCTGTGCCGGGGCCGCCCCTCCACGGGCTACGAGCTGGCTAACGTGGAGCGGAGCCAAATATTACGCTTTTCTCTTTGGAAAGGAGTGCGCACGCCCCCCCCCCCCCCCCCCCCCCCCCGTCCCCTCGCCGATGCACGGGCTTCCCCGAGGTGGGGACAAAACGCTGCGGTCCACGGCTGCAGGTGGGGGGCCAGATCCTTCCCCAGAGCCCCCAACTGCCCGGGGCCTCGCCGGTCCGTGGGTGCCCGTGGCCAACCGCCACGCAACAGCCGAGGGGCTGCGGAGCAGAAGGTTCGGGGAGATCCCCGAGCATCAGCCCACTCCCACAAGCAGTAGGAGATGGACGTCAGGCCCAAGAGTTTAGGAGCCACCAAAAAACCACTCCCAGGAGAGCTGTTACCACTCGGGGTGCTGGGCGGGTTACGGCAGACCAGTCTGCTCTTGACGGAGCTGAAGAGAGACTCCCAAGCACAGAGTGCTTCAAGAGGATCACAACTTAAGTACTTATGGGTTTAGTCGCTTGTTTTCTTTAATAAGATCTCCAGGCCAATTGAAGGAATTCCAGGAGCTTTTGGCTGCCTCTCACTGGCACATCAGGAGCATTAATGTGCCTTGGGCCAGAAATCAGCATTTACAGCACCCGGGAAGGCTCCCACGGGCTCTAAAGTGCAGCTTCTGTAACCGTGGTCTTGGTTAAACTCAGTATCCCCCATTCCTTATGCCATTTCCTGGCACACAGGTGATTACTGCTTAATGTGATTTGTACCTTCTATAAATTATTCAAAAGAAATTTCAGATTACAATTTATGAATGTACCGCAAAAGAAAAGTACAAAATTTAAGGCCTGTTTTGATCAAAAAGTAAACATGCTGCCTTCTCATGAGGCTTGCAGCCTGTTAAGTTCGATGTTAGTGTAGATGTGATTTTATCCCATCCTGACCTGGTTCTCCCAGTCACCTCCCTCTTCAGTCCTCTTTGCCAGCAGGCTTGACCATCCATCTCCATCTTACAGGACTCACATTTGCTGCTTTTTAAATACCTCAGGTTATGCAGAAGGTGCTAGACAGGCTTCACCACTGCCAGGTGAAATCTCTGAGCTATTTGTACATAATCCTGATACACCAGCTCCCCCCTGGCTTTCACTGTGATCTTGAATCCCTTCCCCGGCCATCACCCTTCCCCAGATACCAACTCTCACCTCAGAGGCGTGCAGTGGAGCTGTCATGGGGGGCACAATGCCCCACAAACCAGTAAAACCAGTCCCAGTTTTTGAGAAGGTCGGGGATCCATTGCTGGGGGTCCCTGCCGGTTTGCATCATTGATTACAACTGATGAGAGGGAGGAACTGAGCTGCACGGTCTGTCTGCAAAGGGTGAAGCATCCGAGAGCATCAGCCACAGCTGCAGCAGCCCCCGCGCTGCCTGCCCTGCCTGCACCCCGAGCTAGTGCATGAGCAACTGTGCTTCACAAATCGGCAGAAACACTGCACTTAAATTCATCGCCCAATATTCAAATCTGCCAACTGTTTGAGCGAGCGAGAGGCTCTAAGGGTGGTTGGCACGTGCCTGTTTGTTTAATCTGTTTATTAAAACTGACAGTCAAATCGCTAGCAATACAGCTGAAATGCCTCCGTGCATCCAAGGGAGGAGAAGAAAGCCTGAGCACTGTGGCACGGGGGGTTCTGGGCTGAGCTGTGCACGTCAGATCTGGAGAGGGAGAGCGGGGGGACAGCGATGGCCTGGGGAGGGCACAGACTCCGAAATGCTGCATCTGTCCCCGCCTCTGCCCCACAGTCCCTCCGTGCTTCTGGGGGGTTGGTAGCTAGGAACCCCGCTTTCCCTCCGATGTGATGGGATTTCTCAGAGCCCGTCCTCGCCCTGTAGTTCTCACAGGGTCAGGTGGCTCCGTGCATGCAGCAGCCCTGCAAGGAAATGCAGATCCAGAGCGAGCTCCCGGGCTGTGCTGAACACCGGTAGCTAAAGCTCACAGCATGCTGTGGAGCATGCAGATGTTTCTTCATTCCCTATTTTTTTGTTTTAGAAATAGACATTCATTTACTAGGTCCTAATTCATCCCTGCATTAAAAGCAGCCAAGCTATTGGCTTCCCACATTCATCGTCTCTCTGGTAGCACCTCCAGGCTTTTCATCAGAATTTCTCAAGCAGTGTGGGGAAGGGAGTGACAGTTTATAAACAGAGTTCAGCCCCGTTAAGACGATCAAAGGGAGAGACAACAGCATTTTATCTCCTTCGGATATACTTCAGCACAATTTGTCTCCGATGATGAAGATCCTAAAGCTGCCTTCTGGAGTGGGCACCAGTGGAAAACAGATTGCATGGAAAAGCCGGTGTGAGCTGGAAGACAGAAGGGCTGGCTGTGCCGGAGCGGCTGCTGGGGCCGGGGCTGAGGCTCCGTGCACTTGGGGTGGTCGCGGCAGGGCTGGAGCTGCTGGGGGGGGGGGGGGGGGGGGGCAGAGCCCCCCCGGCTTGTCAGGGCGCCAGGAGGAATCCAAAGGGAACGCCTCCTAAACCATTCGCGACACGGCACTTTGAGGCCATTATCGTGTTGGGCTCCTCTGCCTTTAGTGGGGGCGAAGGGGACGCGGTCCCTGGTGACTCGGCCCGTCCGGCCGCGGGGCAGAGCCCGGGGAAGCGGCTGCCGGCAGAGCCTTCCCATCAGCGAGGGCACAGACGGCTGCGGGCCGTGAGCACTGCCCGCGTTCCCAGGTAGAGAGGCAGCCAGGCTGAGTTCGAAGGTGTTACAGATCTTGTTTGCAATAAACCTGTTCTGAACCTTGAAAGGCCAGGAATGCACCTCCAGTGCTCAGACCCGAAGCCTTTCGACTGCCTGATGAGGCTTTCTCTACACTAGCAACAGTAAACTTCACAGAGGAGCCTTCAGAAAATCACTGCGATGTACTGGAGAGCAGAACAGCTCAAACAGGCGTTTCTGATGAGCTGTCAAGAAAGGGGTGCTTGGCCAGGGACAAGGGGAGGACTTGGCCCGGGATGAGCAGAGCTCAGGAGTGAACGAGGACAAAGAAGTGTGGGAACAGGAATGAAGGAAGGAAGACAAAGAGGGAAAGAGATGACTGTGAAAAGAAGAGTGAGATTTAAATCACAGTACAATTAGACAAGCCATTCCTGCTGGAAATGAGCACAGCAATACAGCAGCCCAGGCACAATCCACAGCAAATTCAGCCAAACGTACCTAAACTTGGCAACAGGGGAAGTCTCATACCAACCATTCACTTTAAATAACTAATATTAAAGAAGAGAACCAGAAGAGAGGCTGCCCCAGCATAATTTTCAATTCTCACACATTCTGTAGGTATCTGGAGCTGGTTTCTGCGTTATTTCCCCCAGCCCACCAGACGCCCCGGCCCCCCCGGTGAGGTCCAGGGGCGGAGGCAGCGCCGGTGGTGTCACCCCCACGCCGAACCGCGCCGCTGGCGTTGTTGACAGAAACCCCCTTTTTTGCTCAGCCGGGGTCTGTGCCCGAGGTCGCCGTCGGGCCCCATCGCCGGGATCTGCCGGGCAGCTCCTGGCGCAGAGCAGCCCAGCCCCGGGCGGCGGGTCGGGCAGCGGGGCACGCGTGAAAGGTTTGCTCTTTCGCCCGCCCGGCCCGTGTTGCCATTTGTTCTTGTCAAAGGGGAGCAGAGTCACGCTTTGAGACACCCGACGCTTGCGAAAGGTTACCCTCGCTTTGGCATTTTCCGAGTGGAAGTCACAAGACAAGCATCTGAAGTTCACAGCCGAGCTGCAGAATTAATACTTTGCTGCCGTTGCTGGCTTGTTTGCTCGATAGCTTTGAACGGCTGGGGATGGAATTGAAAACAAACCCGCTGGAAAAGCCACCCTGCCTCACCCGCTGTCGAGCCCCCCCCCCAGGGCGCCGCCGATACAGAGGGTCCAGTTCCACACATTGCACGTGGGGAAACTTCCCCAGAGCAGCACACGGGACTGACTGGTTTAGACTGGGCTCTCAGTGGGCACCGAGCCTCTAACAGGGTGTTGCTAACCACGGCCCCTCGCCCTGGCTCCCCGCCGCTGCATCGTTTCTAGAGCATCTTTAAAATCTGCTTCCCTGGGCCCGAAGAAGTCTGACAGGACAGCATGACAGAGACCAAGCCTGCTGCTTGTAAATGCAGCTGTTGGAAAGCTGTTCCAGGCAAACCAACACACTACTGATAATTAAATAATTCAGCACATTTGACAAGCCGATAAAATAGAGGAGCCTCATCTCCCCGTATCCCTTGAAACCCAGGGCCCTCCCGTCAGTGGGCTGGGGACGTCCTGGCCGCTTCCTCCCCTCCACCCGCTCCGGCAGCGCCGGTGCAAACCCCCCTCTGCCCACAGCATCTCATCCGAGCCGGCTGCCAGCTTCCCTCCTCCTCCTCCTCCTCCTCCTTCAATTATCCTCACGGTTCATCTCTCCCAGCTCTTCCCCGTGACCTCTGCCTCTCAACATCAAGTTTTCTGTGAAGCTTACGCTAACACTAAATTAGCCCTGCACAGACTTTGGGGGCGAGAAATACTTCCCGTCTAGCAGAAATTCAGCAGAAATTTATCTCTGTGTTATTTTAAAGCCTCACCAGCACAGCTTCTGTGTGCTGCTGCTGCATGGAATTGCATCTCTCTGAAGTCATCTTAACTTTGGCACCTTTGCTGTGCGTCTCCTCTCCGTGCCCGACTACATCCTGTCTCAAGCATTTTTCTTCATTTGCAGGAGCAGCCGTGCTGCTTAATGAGGGATACTGCGCGCCGCCGTCCCCTGCTAATGGGAGTCACTTCATTACAGGAAGGGCCCTTCTTTAAGCCACAGCTTCGTGCTACACAAAGACCTGAGTCTTACCACAAGGATTTTAATTTGGGATTAACCGATCGGGAAATTGGATCACTCCTTACATCAATCATCCCGCACTCCCTGCGACTTCCCGCCCCGGGTCGCTTTGCTGCGGCAGGAGCTGGGCACCAGGCCGGGGGGGCCGGGGGGGCGGCAGCAAAGCGCCTCAGTCCTGAGGCTTCCTCCTCAGAAGCTGCCTGCTAACAGCCAGGGCTCTCCTCTGACGCCGTCTTTGGTTTTCAAGCTATCTCAGCATCTGAGTCTTTCCCATAACTTGCATACAATTGCTCAGCTACTCAGTCTTTATGCTTTAAATAGGAGCTGCTTCTATTCTGTGACACAGGCTTCTCTCTTCGGGATGAACCTATCCTTTAGGGCTGTGTTTTCTTACTTATGCCAGTAAATTTTACTCAGAAGAGTAATTACTTGAGACTCAGTGAAGATACCTGCATGTGCAACCGCTTACAGACCATCCCCACTCCTGAAATAATCTGTTTCCACGAATGCTCCCGCTAGCAAAGTGGCTCACCAGTACATTCTTAGCACAGAAATACAAAATAGGTGTAAACACAGATGAAACCATTTTGTACTACTTAAAAGTCACAGGAAAGTTTTTATCTGCCAGTACAGATAAAGATTCAAGATAAATATTTCTTTATCAGCTTTTGATGCCAGAAGTTACATTTTTTGCAGTCCAAAGCAGCTCTGAGTCCAGCAGCACTTCAGCAGCCTGACGGCTGCCCAGGCTCCCAGCCCCAGGTGCTGCTCTTCACATCCCATTTATTGACTCTCCCTTCATGTTTGCCAGCTGGTTTACATCAAAGCCAATTAATAATGATGCTCAATATTCTGCCATTGTTTGGTGTGTGTGTACTTTATATTGCGTGAGTGCTCTTTAGTTTAAAAGTCAGGAAATCCTGTATCTATCGGAGAAAAGTATCCTGTCCATGTACTGCGAGCCCCAGACACATAACCTGATTTATACAGTGAGTCAGCCTGGCAAGCAGGCGTGGATGTTATGTTACTTGTTGACAGGAATTCTTATGGACTGCAAGCTACTTCCAAAAGAAATCCAAGTGAAATATTTATGTGCTGTAAGCAGTATGTGGGAATACCTTTTCCAAGGTCAAAATCAATTCATTACACTGTTAAATTCACGGCTGTATACATAAACATTTGTGTGTATGTCCTGGCATACGCACGCACGCACACATACACCCTCTCTTGTCAGTTCTTGCTTTTTGCTTTCGTTTCGAGGGCAACACTTAATAGAAGATGCAACATAATAGAAGCCCTGGCTGGGGAAGCCATGATACAGCCGAGGTCCCAGAAAGTGAATTACACTGTAGGAGAGGGCAACGATAAGTAATGAGATTTGTGTGGAAATAACTGATCTCCTGATACAAAGGATCACACAGCCTGTGCAGGCAGAGAGTGCTGAAGGGAAAGGTAAAGGCAGAGGAGCAGAACACATCAGACATGCCTGTCGTAATTAGCGTTTCTTTATTCCTTTGTTAGAGACAGCCATGCAGGAACTGGTGGTGATCTGGCTGCATTCTTACA